ATGGATGCCACCCTTTTGGTCGGCCAACTTTTTTCTTGGGGGTGGGGGTGGGGAGGCTTCTGAAGATACTAATTATATCTGAAGTTACAGTCGAGAGAAATTTGGCCTCTCGATTACTGTTGTGACCAGCAATGGGCCTCGGGAGTGGATATTTATTATTATTGTTATTATTATTGTTATTATTATTATTATTATTATTATTTTGTGAAAGTACAGTGCTAGAAGCATTTTACTATTATTTAAAACTGATCATTTGAGCTTTCTAACTCTAATGAAAAAAGAAAGCCATTCAGGAAATTTCTGTGAATAAGGTGAATGACAGATGCTTTGAAGCAGAATTTCTCTCTTCTACAACAGTGAGATTTCTTTAACATGATGAGGAGCCATTACCAAGAAGAGTCGACTTGTATTTTACCTTTTAAACAAAATATATAGTCTGATTCAATCCCACAAAACAGGTTTTGAAGTAGATAAATCAGTAATGGTAGTTTCGAGAGTGTTCCTTTGACTTTGGATTTATTATTTCTGGTGTCTCTGGTGAGGGCACTGCACACACTTATAAATCTGCGCAGTCTCTTTTTGTGTTTCAGTCCTTCATGTTAATGGACTCTATAACTGTTACATAAAACACATCTATCAGCAAAGGTTTGGGAACAAACATTTACACCAAGACTGTTTAAAAGTTGGCAGCCTCGGTGAATAGTAAATAACAGTGAATAGGACAGAACATAAATACACAGATCAATTTAATAACAGATTGTCTCCAAAGAATTAAAAACAGGGCTGCCTGGACTGTCAAGGAAGACATATCTAGGGCTCACATCAATGCGGCGGGAGCAAGGAAGCATCATGGCTTCGGTCCTTTACATTAAAACATTTCCTTTGGTTTGGGGAATAAAAATCCACATCTAATCAATCTTCTATTTCACTTAAGTTGCAACATGGCTTTACCCATCCTTCCCACGTCTCACTTAGCATATTGTTATCCAACCACAAATCCATGTTCCTCAGTGAGTCATTTTGACCACCTACTTTGAGAGTTAGTCATCGGTGAGATCCCCACCACACTTGAACTTCACAGAGGCAAGAACACGGAAGTTTCCGATGGACTTCAATTCCTCGTTTTCAGAAGTTTCTAGCAATACTTCTTTCCTTTCACGTGGTTGTTCCAGGAAGCACATGTGATGCACCCTGCATGCAGCAGGCACTCCATGAAAGCTGAACACCCTTTCCAGTCTCTCTCTTGGGTTAATCCCGCTTTGTGTTCTTTGGGTCATTCACTGGCACACTGGTCATTAATACTGTCGACACGTGCCAGCTTTGAAACGCCTTTGACTTAACTGCATCTGCTCTGGCTGGTGGTTGAGAGCTCAGGCATGAACGCCTCTGGGAATCACTAAGATTGCTAAGAGTTGAACCACATAATCAAATATGGTGTCATGCTATTGCAGTGTATGAGTTGGGGATTGGCAGGACTTTTATTCTTTTCTTTCTAGACCCAATCAACACATTTAATCATAAGCCGCTGTCTTAGAGTTTTTATTGCTGTGGACAGACATCATGACCATGGCAACTTTTATAAAGAAAACATTTAGTTGGGGTGGCTCACTTACAGTTTCAGAGGTTCAGTCCATTATCATCATGACAGGGAGCATGGTGGTGTGCAGGAGACATGGTGCTGGAGTAATGTCTGAGAATCCTACATCTTGCAGGCAACAGAAAATGGACTGAGACACTGGGCAGTACCCTGAGCATAGGAAGCCTCAAAGCCCACCCCCACAGTGACACACTTCCTCTAACAAGGCCATACCCACTCCAGCAAAGCCACACCTCCTAATAGTGCCACTCCTTATGAGATTATGGGGGCCAATTACATTCAAACTACTACAGTTCCTGAAAGATTACTGTTAGCCCTTGACTCCTGTGGCTAATACACAGTTTCCTGTTTATGTTCAATTAATGTGCTCTTATTCTTTGTTGTATATGACTTCTCATGTTTCTCCTCATGGAGTACCCTTCTCACCAATGCAGTCTTACTGTTTCACTACATCTGTATTTTTTTTTAAGATTTATTTATTTATTATGTATACAGTATTCTGTTTGCATGTATCACTGCAGGCCAGAAGAGGGAGCCAGATCTCATTACAGATGCTTGTTTGCCACATACGGGTGCTGGGAATTGAACTCAGGACCTCTGGAAGAACAGCCAGTGTTCTTAACCTCTGAGCCATCTCTCCAGCCCCTACATCTGTATTTTTAATTCTTTCCTATGTTGTATCCTGTAATGTTATGATGGAAAATAATTATAATCATAATCTGAAAAAAAAAGAGGTGTCAAAGGATGACTCAGTCAGTAAACTGTTTGCCAGAAAAGATCAAGGACCTGGTTTCAAATCCCCAGCACACACATAAAGAATCAGGAGCAGCAGCTTACCCCTGAAGTCCCAGTGCTGAGAAGGCAGAGACGGGCATCTCTGGATGCTGATGGCCGGCCAGTCTAGTGGGATTGGTGAGCTGTAGTGTAAGTGAGAGACCCTGCATCAAAGTGGAGTGGTTTAGAGGTAGACAGCTCCGGGTTCTTCCTTGCCTCTTAGATTCTGTGGGTATGAGCCGTCTCCGCTGTTCCTTGACTTACAGTTCATGGCTCCAGTCTTCACTTCCATCCTCACCGTATCCTTGAGGCCTTGTGTTTCTCCTCTTTTCATAAGGACACCAGTCACATGACAATAGGTACAGCCTACCCTACTGTGACCTTACCTTAATATTGATGACACTGGCAACATTATTTCCAAATAAGGTCACATTCATAAGTATTTGGAATCTCAATGCATCGTTTTTTGCTATAAATTGTATTTAAATTTTTTTTATTTATAGGGGAAGGCACACAAATGCCACACCCCATGTTGCACATACCCACAGAGACCCATACACATACACATAATTTTAAGAATAAAAAAATAAATATTTTTAAAAGAATGAGTTGTCCCCACTTGGCACTTTGCACCAAAACGACATGCCAAAAACACCCATGAATTTCACAAACAAAAACTGAAGCAAAAAAAAAAAGTATACTCTAAGACCGATTGGTACAGAGTTGAAAGGAAACTGTGTAAAAAGTCAAGATTGCAATGAGTTTTGAGAAGAAAAAGGGTGTAATAGAAAGGAGGTACATGAGGGGTTTCTGATGGCCTTTCTAGAGAGCATTTCTTTGCCTGGGGGTGATAGGTTACTGGTAGAGAAATAGACACCATTCATTTCACAAACATTGGTCAATATTCATCATTCTATTCTAGACATTGTGCTAGACCTGAGACATCAGGGGGAATAAAATCAGCCACGATCCCCGTTCCCATGGTGTTGGCTTCAGATAAGAGAGACAGTGCTAAGCACAGAATAAATGCATACAGTCACCTACTCAGCAGCACTGGTGTCAGACAGACAGCCCTGCTCCTCAATGGGGATTCCTTCTTGGGGCAGGGTGAGGAAGAAAGTACCTGAGTCTTCAATGGACTCAATTAGAAAAATGATTCCAAAGTGTGCTAATGCAGCAGCTACACCTCCTGTCTGTAAGAAATGCTTCTGTGTCTTTAGATAGACTCTCAGATCCCCAGGTGCTTACTAATCCAAAGACAGTCTTGGTTTGTAATTCATGGCATTAGCCCTAAACTGGGGGGGGGGGGGAGAGGGGGTAATACTAACAATTTTAAATTTAATTTTAGTGACATTATATTAGACTATAACGCTCTTCTGAATTCATACTTCAAATGTCGTTTTATTTTTATTTATTTGTTTGCATTTATTTATTTTGGGGGTGTTTGTTTGTTTGTTTGTTCATTTGTTTTGAGACAGGGTTTCTCTATATAACAGTCCTGGCTGTCCTGGAACTCACTTTGTAGACCAGGCTGGTTGAACTCACAGAGATCCATCTGCCTCTGCCTTCCGACTAAAGGCGTGCATAACTACGCCCCGCCAAAATGTACCGTTTTAAAATGACCCCTTCCAGGCTATAAAATACTTATATCCTCATCGTGGAACCCCTGAGAAATAAGAAAACTTCAGAGAAGACAAAGATGTATATTTCCATCACCACAGCTACTGTAAATGCCTCCTTCCCTTCTAGTCTCGTGTAGCCCAGGCTGGCCTGGTATGTGCTATGTCTCCAAGGATGATGAGAATACATTTGAGCTTCTGATCCTCTAGCCTCTACCTCCCAAGTGTTGAGATTACAGGTGTGTGCTGCCCCACCCAGTTTATATTGTACTAGGGATCCAATCCACCGCTTCCTACCTGCTAGGCAAGCACTCTGCTGACTGAGAGTGCTTTAAAGTGCTGTTTTTAATCTTTATTTTCAGTTTAGTCAGACTTTCAATGTGGTTTTGCAACTTGAGTTTTTGCATTTAAAAAGAAATGCATTGAGACTTTCTTCACGTCATTAATTTTCCTAAATGTAGCTCCTGAGATTGTTTTTAAAAAAATCACCCTGCCGGGCGGTGGTGGTTCACGCCTTTAATCCCAGCACTCCGGAGGCAGAGCCAGGATATCTGTGAGTTCGAGGCCAGCCTGGTCTACAGAGCGAGATCCAGGACAGGCACCAAAATACACAGAGAAACCCTGTCTCGAAAAATCCTACAGCTACACCTCAAAGCCCAGCTTGAGTACTTTGTTTTCGAAGGGAAGAACTCTATCTGGGACTGGTTCCGGGCCTGTGTAAGGGCTGCCCAGAAAATTGTGGGTAAGGCGACAGAGTCAGCGTCCGCACAAAATGCCTCCATCTCCTTAAGTTTTTCTAGAGGATTGAATCAGGATTCCCAAAGATCTTCAAAGGCGAATGACTCTGCGAAAGGCCATCTAGAGAAACAAGATGCAGCCCTCCCAGAAATCCCCGAAGGACAGACAGAGCGGTGCTCAGGACTTCCAAGTCTCAAAGGAGCCGCGTTTGCATCCGGTTTTCTGCGGGGATCCATGCGCGCCGCGGCCCCGCCTGGCTCTCTCTGCCCCAGGCGTCCCCTACCAAGCCGCGCCCTCGGAGACCCCAATTCCGGCCACGGGTTTGAACTTGGGAGGAGCGCGCCTGGGGTTCCCGCCCTGCCGGGATCCACCACCCTCCCCACCGGGACCGCGCAGGCGCAGGCGGCCAAGAGTCCGACCACAGTCCCGGAGCCCCAAGGTTGCGCCGGTGCCATCGCGGCCACTGCCACCGCTCACTATGATCCCGGGTCCCCGTCTGCTGCTAGCCACGGTGCTCTGCCTGGGGCTCGGCGCGCTCGTGTCTTCTTCGGGGTCCTCGGGCGTCCGAAAGCGAGGTCCCTCGGTGACCGCCAACGTGATCCTGCGGCTCCTGCAACTTCCCCTCCTGCGGGCCAGGCACCGGGGCGCTTAGGCGACCCCACCGCAGTGGCACGGCTGGAGAGGAGGGACTGCCGGCGGGGGGGACTGGCGGGGACTTGGGGGTGGGATACTGTTTGGGACTGGAGGGAACTCGGGGATGGGGGCTAGAGGAGGGACTAACTGGGACTTGAGACTGGCTGGGACTGGAGGTGACCACGCGGCAAGCGGGAGGGGACGTCTGTGAGGAGCTAATGGTGCGCTCCGCCACCCGGGCTACAGGGCCAACTCCCGCGGTCCCCGCCGCCGGTTGTCTGGACTTGTGGTCCGGGCGGGTCCAGCGTGAGCAGCCTGGGACCCCGGACAAGCTCCCTGAACCCACAGGCCCTTCCTTCTAGAAGGGAGGCTGCTGGAGTACTTCCTTGGCCTGGAACAAAGCTGGAAGAATGTGAGGGGAGGGGACAGGATGCCTGCTTAAGACGTCACCCGCTGGGAAGAGCCTAGGTCCCGGACAGGCTCAGTTGAGACCTGTCCTCTTGCCCTGTTTAGGAACTGTCACCCTCCTAAACAGTTTTTAACTTTGTGACGGGCCTGATTTGAGTCCTGGGCAGGCATGACAAGGTGACACTTTGAATCTTAAGGGAGGCAGGTGGGGAATCGCCAGGAATTTAGTCCATACAGTGTTCACTGCTGAAGTTCTAGTTCAGTCTGTTTTACCCCAGGATAGAAGATAAAGAAAAGGTGCTAGGAAAAAGGGAGGGAGGGATTGCTGAGGTATGGTAATGACCATGTCCAGGGAAAAAGAAAAAAAAAAAAAAAAAACCCTAGCAGTCTTGGAATAGGGTGGGACCAGCGGTAAGTGGTCTTAATGACCGGTCTGCTTTGCCACTGGAAATGATACCTCAGGACTGGCAGAAGGTTTAAATCTTCCATGGCAGACTCAACCAAAGAGCCAGCAAGAAGAGAGAAGTCAGCCCAGCACCCAGTGTCACTCTCCTGAGACCCGAAAGCCATCATGATTAGAGTAACATCCATCCTCAGGCAACCCCTTGATCTTTTAGGTATCTAAACTGGAGAATTCGTGCAAGCCACACAACTAACGCAGATTTGGTCTGCGGATACTATTTCAGATAAAACCATAAGCATAAAATTCATACAACTTTGAAATATTGAAGGAAGTGAACCTAATATAGGTTGGATGCCATTTAAAAACACTTGCCTGGTGAGGAAAAACCAAGGTGGCAAAGGCCGGGGTGCCAACCGGAATTGCTGGTGCAAGGCTGGGGTGTCAACAGGAATTGCTGGTGCAGAGTTCTCCAGGCGGGAAAGCCATTCTTGGCTCAGAGTGTACCTAAAGGGCAGTTTGTCTTTGGGGGCAGGACTGTGGGCAGAATGGCCTGAGATGAGGCTGGATGAGTAAGAGAAAGACTCCGAACAGCCTTAAAAGTAACGGCTAGGAGTGTGGCCATTAAGGCCATCATTCTTAGGACTCACAGGTTACCCTAAGGCAGTGGTTCTCAACCTTCCTAATGCTGTGACCCTTTAATACAGTTCCTCATGCTGGGGTGACCCCCGACCATAAAATTATTTTTCGTTACTACTTCATAACTGTAATTTTACTACTGTTATGAATTGTAATGTACATATCTGATATGCAGAATATCTGATATTCGACCCCTGTGAAAGGTTCATTTGACCCCCACCCGAAAGGGGTCTCTACCCACAGGTTGCGAATCCCTGCTCCAAGGTAAAGTGGCTGGAGGGCTTTGCACATGGAAATGACATGATTTCATATACGCTCATAAATTTCTGTGGTCACTTCAGAGCTCGAACTGAGAGGCCGTCCGGGGCTCCATGCTAGCACTCCAGATGGTGGCTGGGATCAGGGTGGTCATCTTGGGAATGGGGAACAAGGAACTTGAAGTAGACATTGGAGGCATAATAAACAGGAGTTACCTCAAAGCTTAGATGAAAAAGGGGAGTAGGGTAGTTAGATAAAGAGCATGATGCCTAAGTAGGTGTGGATTAACAATGGGTAATTCTTCAGGGTCTGTCCCTGGTAATGTTGGAAACACCTCACCCAGAGAGCTTTTGAAATGCATTGATGGAGAGCTACTCGGAGCAAGTCAGCAGCAGTCTGTGCAGTAGTGTCCAACCACTTACAGGGGACACCTCCTGGCCAGCCTGTGGCGCAGCCTAGGAGTAGAGGAAAGTCTACAGAAGAAAGGCCACGGCTGCGGGGAAGGGGCAGGGCGGGGCGTCCTGACTACATCTACCGCACTGTCACTAAGACTCCGGCCCTAGTCTCTGGACTGTTGCCTGTTTTCATCTTTTTCGCCAAGCTTACTGAGTTCTGACAGACAGAGGTGTATGTAGGTGAACCTCACACAGACCTGCATTGCTTGGGACTTGAGTTCCTTTTTTTAATGAATGTCTTACGACAATTCAGCGTAATGGAAAAATAGAGACATTAAAAAAGAAATGTGGGCTAACTGGCTGTGACTAGGCTATGTTGTTTCGCCCACAGTCCTTTCTTTCACTATGGCTCTATTTAAAGCTAGGAATCTGTAAATAAAAGGCATGAGGTGCTGCCCCCCAACACATACACAGTGGGGAATCCTGCCTCCATTTCAGCCTTGCAGCCTCCTGTCCCACTGACGCTCTGGTGTGAGCTCTGGATTGCAGACTCAGAATCCATTTTCCAGAGAATGCCATGGGTTTTATGCACAGGCCAGCACAGAGTACATAAAAATTGACACTGCCATCTTTCCCACTTTTAACCATGTCAGGAAGTGGTGGCCGTGGGGTGGTGGCTAGGTGACTTTGGGCAAGTTATCTATTGTCTGAGACTTTGTTTCTTCTTCTGTAGAAAGTGTATGGAAATGATAAATATCCATTATTATGTGTATATTTGGAGGGTACGTATCTGCATATAATATGGATTTTTGCAAATTAAGTGTGATAAAGCAGGTAAGTGTTCAGTTTGTGGTCCCTCATTTGTGAGGTCACTCTTGAGTGTTGTTCATCCATGAATCTTAGTGTGAGCTTGAGAGCAATTGTCACCCATCTAATAGATGAGATATACAGCTCAATTTTAACTTCCTGAAGGCCCCATGGCCAGTTAGTAGTGGAATTGGGTTTAACCATTTTGAACTTGGTGTCTTCTTGGGTGAATCTGAAAGTAGATCAACACAGGATTGACCCTCCAGGGGTGTGGTCAGTCTCTGTGAGCACCTCATCCCTCCTTATCTACCTCCTCAAACCCTCAGTGCCCCATAATTTTCAAATGACTTTCAGGGGCAGCCTCAGGGAAAAAGAAGTGTCAAGATGCGTACCCACTAAGTATGGTGTGGAAAGCAGGTACCATCTTTTCCAAGGAGTCTACTCCAGTCCCCACCCCACCTCCCCTCCTGTGGGGTGACACTTGGCCTGTCTGCTTTCTGTTGGCATTGTGCTGAGATCTGGGAATCAGGAAGGACTGTCTCCATTCTCTAGGTGCTCCCTGTTTTTTTTTTGGTTTTTCGAGACAGGGTTTCTCTGTGTAGCTTTGCGCCTCTCCTGGAACTCACTTGGTAGCCCAGGCTGGCCTCGAACTCACAGAGATCCGCCTGGCTCTGCCTCCCGAGTGCTGGGATTAAAGGCGTGCGCCACCACCGCCCGGCTAGGTGCTCCCTGTTAATGAGAAGTCACAGATTAGTAAGAGGGGCCCTTGGGCTGAGATCCTAATGCTTTCACTCCTAGCTGGGAAGCTCAGGCTACTCACCTACCCTCCCTCCTCCCCTAACAGTTCCTGCTTCGCTCCAGGTGGGCTGAGGAGAATTCCATATGGTGGTAAAGCACAGACCCCCATCTCAGCTTTCCAGAGAACCTCATTCTTGAGCTGCTGTGGAGTGTCCAGATTCTCCTCTTTGGGCTCCGTGGGAGGCCCGTTCCCAAAGCCTCATTTGCTTCCCTTCACTCTGGCAAAGCTGAGAGTAACATTAGTCCTCAGGCCCCATGGAACAGGCAGCAGCTCCCTGCCCCAGCCATGGGAAAGGCTGCTCTGATGCTCGGCACCCAGAGCGTGAGGCCTGCCTAGCTGCCTTGGCTCCAGGAAGGAGAGTCAGGTGAGGGATATGCCCATCATTGTCTCTGAGACTGTCATCTTCCATTCCTTGCCTCCCACTCCTCCGTGGCGCCCTCTCCCAATCCTTCCCGACCTCCAGGACTTCACATACAGTGTTCTTGGGCACCTCTCACATGTTGTCTTGTACCACCTGTGGTTATTTTTGACTTTTCTTTTTTTAATTTTTATTTTGAGACCTGGAACTTACGGGCCTCAACCTCGCACTGATCTCTGTCTCCGCCTCCCACTTCACCGTTTATCCTGTTATATGCCGCCTTTAGGACAGTTTGTGCAGGGACCTTGCCTTGTTTGTAGGTATTTAATAACTATTTGTTGGCTAAACAAGGTTGGACTTTGTCATTTCTGTTAGAGTTGGGAACATTCTGATGTGATTCCTTTCACTATCCTCATGGAGCTGAAGGGCGTGGCAACTGGGAGGAAAAAAATTGAGAGCTATGTGAGCTGGGCTGTGTGTGTGAAAATGGGATTTTCATTGCAGGTGCTGTTGGGTAGCAGGTTCGTTTTCTTCATCTGCTGCTGCTGCCTACGTTGTTGCTTTCTAAGAATTTACTCCCTTAGTTTTAGAGTCGGAAGGCTTTGCAAGTATCTTTCTGGTTGTCTCTTTAAAATTACAGCCCTGGTTCTCTGGCGGAGCTGTTCGGTTCCTGCCCACATTCCTTTCTCACCCGGGCATGGAAAGCCCTTGGAGAAGCCACTTCTCACTGCCTGACTCACTCCTGCTGAAGCGGCCTTTTGTCCCCAAGCCACACTGGTGGCTGTCTCCTGTCATACCTCACACGAAGAAGAGTCGCGTCTTCAAAGCTTTCAGGAAAGCTCTTGTATAGAAATGATAATAAAACAGTGTCTGCTTTGGCCACATGGAAATGTAAATGCCACACAAAGCACTAAATATCACATCAGCCCGTGACAGGCGTTCTGATATATTGGCAGAAGTCCTTGCCTTGAGCTGAGTTTGACAGTCTTTACCCAGTGATTTTTCTAGATTTGCAAGGCATCTTTTTTCTTTGACAACCCTTCTTATATTTCTTAAAGTCATCCCTTGAATGTCTTTTTTTACCCATTCAAACAGTAAATTGGTTCGTATAATCTAAACTTGCTAATGGAATGAATGCCCTTTGACTCCGTGGCCTTTTCAAGCCTTCTGTCTCCAAATCATCTGAACATAGTGATTTGTGAAGCGCAACGTGTATAATTTCATTCCAGGTGAAACAGTTTTTAAAAAGAAACTCCAAGAACTTTTAAGGTTTAATCTGAAAAAAAAAAAAACAAAAAACTGTGGCTTGTATTTCTAGCCATGTTATCTTTCTTTTGTTCTAAGATGACGGAGAAAGAACAAATTCTACTTGGGTGACCATGAGAACTAGACACCTGAACCCAGTGTTGAAGTTTACAGGATGATAGCTTTGTGGGCAGCCACACACCGGTTAGTGGTTAGCTGTCCTGCTGGGGACCTGGTGTCTTACTGCTCTGGGATGTGAGTGGCATCTCTGGATGGTCCCTTGACAGCAGATGTCTACCAAGAACTCATCACGAGTGTGGCAGTGTTTGAAATGACAAAAAAAAAAATTTGGATAGGTAGCCTTCAGCGCTCACCATTTTATTTTTCTTTCTGTCAGGAGTAGAGAGAAGAGCAATATTCTCTGTTCTCATCTTCATCCACAAAGCAGGAAAGGGGGAGAAGCAGAGCTGTGGTTTTCTAGGGCTCAAGGTGCTTAATGCTTGTTGAGTGAATATTTGGGAATGAACTGCTCCCACACAGTGTTACGTCAGCACTTCTAACTAGCCTCATGCTACCGGACTCTCATAAAACACTGATGGGCAGGCTTTCCTATGGGGACCAATTTTCAGATTTAATTTTGACTTAGCTCAGATTGCTGTCTTTTTCATGTGGTGACCTTCTACTCTGCATCTCAATTACCCGCAGGTCTTCTTTGATGTGAAGATCGGAGACAAAGATGTGGGTAGAATTGTGATTGGCCTCTTTGGAAAAGTGGTACCCAAGACAGTGGAAAACTTCGTGGCTCTGGCAACAGGAGAGGTCTGTCCCAGCCTTATTGACTTTAACTGAGCACAAGTGTGGATCTTCCTTACTACAAGATCCAAAGATGTCTTCTGGAAAAAAATGGCAATTATCATATCAGATGAGTGTGTGACACCTTAGACTTTTCTGTTTCTTAAATGTATTTTTTTCTTAAAAACTGTTTTCTTAAAATTATTCAATTGCTCATTGTTCTTAGGCTTCGAGAAATTGAGAGGAAAAACCTCCAGTGAAAATGCAGAGCACTCTTTTTCTACTTATTCCCATTAATACTTGATTCCTGTATTTCTGTTATTTTGGCCAGTTAATGGTAAACTTTCCCTGGTATAGAATTGCTAGAACGTAGTCAAGTTCTGTAGATGTTCAAATGTTCTCCTTTTCGGATAAACACTGTTCATCTTTCAATAAGGGTTATTTCTACTTATGCATTCAATTGAAATCATCTCTTTAGAAAGGCTACGGGTATAAAGGAAGCATCTTCCATCGCGTCATCAAGGACTTCATGATTCAAGGAGGGGACTTCACCGCTAGGGACGGCACCGGAGGTAACACTGTCCTTGCCTTTCCCCTTTCCCATCTGCCAAGCTGAAACCTAAGCACCAGGGCCTCACAATTGTAGGGCAAAACCATAAAGCCCACTCCAGTTCTTTGTTTGTTTGAAATAGGGTCTCTGTGTAGCCCTGGATGCCCTGGAACTCACTCTGTAGACCAGTTCCGGGATTAAAGGCATGCGCCACCACTGCCCAGATCCCACTCCAGTTCTTTAAGAAGGATGGAGTTGTAGAGCCCTAGCGCCAGAATCCTGGCAGATCTGAATAAGTGAGGTGCTCCTGAGGTTAAGCAGGATTCCTTGATCCTTCGTGGACTTTACACAGTATAGAGACAGTCATTTGGCAGGATATTTTGCAGGCACTAAACAGATCTTTCTCGGTATGTAGAAGATAGAACAATGTTTGCCATGGAAAGGGAAACTAAAACAAAGGTGTGCCTACACTGGTGTGGCAGCCAGCAGCCAATGTGGGTGTGGAGGGGAAGGGGCCAGAAGAACACCACTGGCATGTTGGTGGCAGATGATGGTGAATTTTTGCCTCTTCTGTCAAAATGCTTTCTTTTGTGGTTGGCCCTTTTAGGAATAAAAAAATGTTTAAGTCCATCAACAAATGTTTAAGAGCCATCAACAAATGTAATACAAACTAAGTTTTATAAGCAAAGTTCAATAGAAGATACACTTAGATTTCTAGTTTCAAACTACACTGTGTTATCTCTCCGAGGGTCATAATTGTCCAATTCCAGGGAGTGTTTTCTCTCCAGCGAGCATACTTTTTCAGAGCACATACCATCCAAGCATCTAGACAGAACTTAAATCTACTTCAGAATTAAATGCTGGTTTTGGTAGCTATCATGGCTAAGCAATGAAGAAGCCCCTAGGCTATTTTCAGATATTATTTTGACATTGCATTTGTTGCAATGGCTTATTTATTTATTTATTTAAAAAATGTTGCCATTTAACCCTTCCATTTGCCATACACATTTTGAAGATTGAGTTTTAGTTCTTATAAAAATACAAAAGGCTAGGGATGTAGCTCAGTGATAGAGCACTTGCCTGGCATGCATGAGACCTTGCGTTCAATCAACCCCCAGCACCACAAAACCAGAAAAAAAAAATCTTACCATCGTGGTACAGGGTGTGAAGTGCAGGGTGGAGAAGAGAGAGGCACTCAGGTTCCTTGGGGATGAGATTTGCTGAGAACCATGCATAGAAGCAACCCGGCTGCTGCAACAGCGGCTCCCCGGCAACGGTGCAGCTGGCTGTGTGGCACCTGTGCCCTCCCCCTGCTCCTGCTTTCTTACCAGAGTCCGGCAGAAACAGCCACAACTTTACTTTGACCTCTTTTCCTGTTTTGATTCTCTGTTTTGCCTTCCCTGCTCAGTGTGCATATGTGTGTGGCGGACGGGCGGGTATATGTGGCAGGGGTGGGGAGGAAGAGATCTTAGGTTAACATTTTCTGAGTTTGGAAGAGGAAATTTTGGACCATTTAGCCTCGACCTCTCCATGAGCAGAGCTAGCCACTAGGCCATCTCCTATGTCCTAGACAGTCAGCTTTAAAATTCTTGGCTTTGATTCCACTTCTGGTACTTCTAACTGAGCCAGGATTTTGAGGTTGGCAATTCCTGGGCAAACAGACCGTCAGAAGGAGAGGTAGGCAGGACAGGCCCCTGAAGGGCTGAAACATGGGGAGGGTGGCTCTCGCAGTCCACACTGCTGCTCTGAGGAAAAGGTTCTTGCCGTGGCTGCTGCTTTGCTGGAGCGCCAGGGCATGGATGTTCCTAGTCTTGATCATCTTCTGTGTCCTATGGGCTCTCAGGTCACACCTGTCACTTACGGACTAGCTGCTACTGCTCTTGGTGCTGAGATAAGAAAAAACAGTAGGCGTAGAGTCAGGGAACTAGATGTTGCAGTTCTGCTCTGCTATTGGCCAGTTTTGTAATTGTTCCCAGCAAAAACCAGGACCGAGAAGGCCTGTTCCATGGGGTTGTTGTGGGGTTAAACCAATGTATGCACTCAGTGCTTGGTTGCCTGGATGGGTGCTGAGATGGGAGGGACCTAGAACAAGTCATCTGAGCATACAGCAGAGACAAAGCCCCCAGGATGCCTCAGACACCTTTCTACCCTGTTTTCAGATGCCATCATCCTTCAAAATGAAATCACTGACTTATTTGGTCAAATTTTGGCTTGAGGCCATGGGTATTTTCATCTCGTGCCATAGTAAGGGCCTTCTTCGGTTCAGTTCAGACCCTGGTGCCTGTTTCCTTAATGAGTCCGTTTTACCTACCCTTTCACTGCTTACGTTTGCCTATCCTCATTCCTGTCACCTGTGGGTTCCTATAAACTGATTCCATGACAGGCTTCAGTTCCTCTGAAGAGTTTGCTTTTGACATTTGCTTTTGTCCCTCCTTCTTTGGCCTTACCCAGGTATGAGCATTTTTGGTGAGACTTTTCCTGATGAGAACTTCAAACTCAAGCACTATGGCATTGGGTGGGTCAGCATGGCCAACGCTGGCCCCGACACCAATGGCTCCCAGTTCTTCATCACCTTGACCAAGCCCACCTGGTTGGATGGCAAACATGTCGTATTTGGAAAAGTCCTGGATGGGATGGTAATTTGATATATCTTTTTCCCCTCTTAGAAAGCTTTATGCTTATGAGGAGACCTTCAGCAAATCATTGAATGTTCAAATGCGTTATTAGATAGCCTTTGTATGGTGACTAGAGTTTTTTGTTGTTGTTTTTTGGTTTGTTTTTCAGGACAGGGTTTCTCTGTGTAGCCTTGGCTGTCCTGGAACTCACTCTGTAGACCAGGCTGGCCCCAAACTCACAAAGATCCACCTGCTTCTGCCTCCTGAGTGCTGGGATTAAAGGCGTGTGCCCAGCTGTGACTTGAGTTTTTGAAGGTGAATAAATTACATATGGCATGGTATTTTAATTGCTAGAAGCATCAAAACAGACACTGAAGAAGTTAGGTACTTTAGTTAATTTAAGAAATGTAACCAAATAAACTAGGGACCGAATTATGTATTCAATGAAATATTATTTGGTATTAAAAAGGACATTTAAATGCGTGCTATAACGCATATATATACGATCTGTTTGTCTGTTTGTTAGTCGGTCTTTCTGTCAATCTATCTATTCACATATACTTTGAAACCCTATCCAGTCACAAAAAGATAAATAGTGTATGAGTTTAATTATATGAGCTATTTAGAGTGGTCAAGTTCATAGAGATAGAAAAAATTGACAGTTGCCAGAGGTGGGGAGAAAGAGGTATTTAATGAATACAGACTTTAGTTTTGCAAGTTGCCAAACCTGTGGTTGCATGCATGTAACTACTACTGAGGTATGTATTCATTTTGTGACTTTTCTTGGGAAGATATGGACAAACATCTATTCACCATATTGTACCAATGAAAAACCAAGGGAGTGTGACTCTATCAAAGTCCAACTTGGTGAACCAATGAATTTATTGGGGTTTCTTACAGGAGTCTAGGTGAGAGGTTACTTACAGGAACATGGATGACTCAAAGGCAACTACATCACTGAAAATCCCATCCCAGCATGGACAGCTATTCAAAAAAGCTACAACTTTAGAGCTCTGTGCATGACTTCCTAGCAACTTAGCTGTCTTAAGAGACCTTTTTACCCACAAGTTATTCCTTATATAACTTTGGGGATGTACCTTGTGAATTTTGTAAATTTCAGGAACTTTCTGAGATTTGTGAATTGTTTACTCCTGAATCTTAAGAAGGCTGCCTCTAGAATGGAAATGTTTTGATATAGAGCATATTACTATACGATAGTCCTTAAAAAATGTTACATGTTTCTTACTACAATTAAAACAAAATATTAGCCTGCAGGTGGTGCACAACTTTAATCCCAGCACTTAAGAGGTAGAGGCAAGCAGATCTCTGAATTTGAGGCCATCCTAGTCTACACAGTGAGTACTGGGCCCTGACAGAGATATATAGTGAGAGCCTGTCTCAGAAATTAAATTAAATTAAATTAAATATTATAGCCAAGTGTGATGGTGCATGACTGTAATCCCAATACTAAAGAGGAGAGGAAGGAAGATTGTGATTTCAAGACTAGCTGTGCTATAAAGGAAGTCCTAAGCCAGCCTGGGCTAAAAGCAATCTTGTCTCAATAATAAGTAAACAAACAAATACTTAAAAAAAAAATCCTGAGCTGTGAGGTGGTAGCAAATGCCTTTAATCCCAGCACTCCAGAGGCAGAGGCTCTCTGAGTTTGAGGCCAGCTTGGTCTGAGTGAGTTCCAGGACAGCCAAGGCTACACAGAGAAACCCTGTCTTGAAAAAAAATCCTGAACTTAGCATGTGATGCCATCCACATACTAAGTTACTATAAAGACACAGATTATAATAACCAGAAATTATTAAGAGGACCCAAATCTACATTGTTAGTTATTCACTGAAAAATAACAAAGAGATCCAACTCATAACTCATTTCTGAAAGTACTCATTCTTCTCAACTCTCCTATAGCTTCCCAGAACATCTCTCTCAGCCTCTGCCAAGTGTCCAGATATCCTGGTTAGCTTTCCTATTGCTGTGATAAAACACTGACCAAAACCACTTGGAGAGTAAAGGATTTGTCTTAGTTAGCATTTGTATTGCTGATACACCATGACCAAAAGCAGATTGAGGAGGGAAGGGTTTATTTGGCTTCACTTTCAAGTCACTGTTCATCACTGAAAGAAGTCAGGACAGGAACTCAAGCAGGGCGGGAACCTGGAGGCAGGAGCTGCTGTAGAAGCCATGGAGGGGTGCTGCTTACTGACTTGCTCCCCATGGCTTGCTCAGCCTGCTTTCTTACAGAACCCAGAAACACCAACCCAGGAATAGTACCATCCATAATGGGCTGGGACCTTCCCATCAATCACCAATTAAGAAAATGCCCTACAGTCAGATCTTATGGAGGCATTTCTCAACTGAAGCTCTCTCCCCTTCTGTGACTCTAGCTTGTGTCAAGTTGACATAAAATTAGCCAACAGAGGATTTATCAGACTTCCAAATTAGAGTCCATCATCCAGGGAACTGAAGTAGAGGCCATGGAGAAATGCTACTTACTGGCCTCCTCTCCATGGCTTGCTCAGCCTGCTTTCTTATATCATCCAAAATCACCTGCTCATATGGGCTGGGCCCTTCCACATCAATCATCAATGAAGAAAATGTCCCACAGACATGCCCACAGATGGAGGTTCCCTTTCCCAGGAGACTAGTTTGTGTCTAGTTGAAACACAAAGTAGCTCAGTGACCCTGGCTTCCCTTCCCTTTCGTTTTGTGGCCCAGGGTCTCATTTGCATGTGAGTTGCTCTGTGTCATCTGAGTTTACACAGCTCCCCACGAGTTGTGGTTCTCTCACCCATTTCTACTGCTATCCTGATCCCCGCAACCAAAGGGCAGGAACTGAGCCGCACCCTGGAGAACTCATCAGAAATGACTTTCTTGGTCACAGAGCGCTCCCTCCTTCACTGTGACCCTTAGGTTCACGGGCTTGAGAGGCCCTCCAGGGCCCCTACTACTTGGCATTGAATTACATCCATAGCCTGCATTAGTATGTCTAGACGAGGATAAGGGTAGAGCTGAAACCAACCCGATGAACCCGATGTTGATAATTACAATAACCCCATGTTAATGATTACAATGGGTTGTAGCAGTTCAATTGAAATATCTTTTATTAGAGCTATGGATTTACAAGACTAGCTGAGCCTTTTTCAAATGTAACGTGCTTATTATTAAAGAAACAGGGAAATATATGTTATCTGAGTTTCTGAGAAACAAACACCTTTATTCTCTCTGAGTGGACTGATACAGCTTGTGTGTGTATGTGTGTGTGTGTGTATACATATAATAACACATATATACATATAATACACACATACCTTATATACACATACACATTTATTACATGTACACCACACACACACATAATTATATATATATATATATATATATAATTGCATGTGTATGAATGTGTATATAAAATCCCAGGATAATCTCCTAGGTGCTCCACTCCCAATGGCATTGTTTTGAAGATTGATAGTAGCAGATAAGGAGAATGCTGGAGTTATTTGCAAAGCAGCGCTCCTCAGCTTGCATGGTTTTACAATGATGAACCATATGTCCCAGGGCTGGGATGTGGCTCAATTGATAGATACTTACTGACCAGATAGGAAGTGCTAAGTTTGGTCCTCTGTACCACTTAAACCTGTGGTGGTGGTGCACATCTGTCATCTCAGCATGTGGGAGGTGGAAGCAGGACTATCAAAAGATCAAGGTCATCCTCAGCTACGTAGCAAGCCCTAGGCCAGCCTGATATTCGAGACCCTGTCTCAAAAGAGTAATAACAGCAAACATTTCCCATTTGTGCTTCTGGAATTGGACTGGCTGTTCCTGTGAATCGTCATAGCTACTAACCCCCAATGAGCCACAGATCTCCTGCTTTTTTTCTCTTGCCAGACTGTGGTACACTCCATAGAACTTCAAGCCACAGATGACCATGACCGCCCACTTACTGACTGCACCATCGTCAACAGTGGCAAGATAGATGTGAAAACGCCCTTCGTGGTCGAGGTCCCCGACTGGTGACAGACATGGTGGAAATCGAGGAACACACGCTGGCTGGTCCGTGTGTGCATCTGCTATCCACCAGGTGTCTTTCGACTCTTTAGTTAAAGTTGTACTTAAAACAACAACAAAAATTCTCTTTTAATTTCCCACTCCAGATTGCAACCAAGATTTAAAAATCAACCACACAGCCAGATGTCCTGGCAAACACCTGTAATCCCAGCACTAGGGAGGTGGAGGCAGGAGGATTAGGGGTTCAGGGCCAGCCTTGGCTACATAGTGAGTTTGAGGCTAGCCTAGTCTGTGTGGAACCCTGTTTCAAAAACCATGCCAAACAACAATAAAAATCAACCAAAGCTTATTGTGCATGAATTTTGGCATCTCACCTGCTCAGGTACTTTAAACAGAAACAACATCTCCTTCTTTTCCAATGGTGCTATTTTGAAATCAGAAAACTTCGCATTGGCTATTTATTTTTAAGAACACGGTCTTTCATTTGTTTGGTTTCACTCAGTTTCTTGTCTTCTCTATGTTGGGTGATCTGGAAAGTTTGTTTAAGAACGGTGACTAAGGCGAGGCTTAGCATTCTTTGTTCAAATAATTCTTGTCAGGTAAAGGGAAATTTGAGTAATATCATCTGTCGTATGTCATCAGCATTTTTGGGCTTTGATGTTCTTTATAATTAAATACTTTTTATATGAATTGGCTCTTTCTGCAAGACTTTTCTCCCTTTATTTATTTTTTTTTTTTAATTTTTATGTGATGGATGTCTTGTCTGCATGTATGTCTGTGCACCATGTGTGTGCAATGCCCAAGAAGTCTGGAAGAGGGCACCAGATCCCTTGCCTGGTGCTGGAGTTATAGACAGTTGTGAGCTGTCAGATGTGTGCTAGAAATTGAACCTGGGTCCTTTGGAAAAGCACCACAGATGGGCCACAGAGCTTACATCCCAAACGTAGAAGCTGATCATTCACTAATCTTCACTTAACATTTAGACCAGTGGTTCTCGAAACCTTCCTTATGCTGCGACCCTTTAATACAGTTCCTCATGTTGTGGGGACCCCCACCACCACCACCATAAAATTATTTTCATTGTTACTTCATAACTGTATCTTGCTACTGTTAATGAATCATACTATAATTTAAATATGTGGTATGTGACTCCCCCCCCCCCCATGGGGGTCACAACTCACAGGTTGAAAAACCACAGATTTAGACTTGTCTTGAGTCCAGTTGCTATGGAATCTTCTTAGTTGATAGTGTGAGTCAAGACCCAGGCTGTATTTCAAGGAAATGAGACAGCACAGTCTTAGAGCTGTGTGACATCTGAGGCTGTACAGTCGAGGCCAGGCTCTGGTTAGCTGGAAATGGAATCATGCCCGACAGTGAGGAGTCAAAGAAGTCTCTCATTATCTCTGCAAGAGATGGAAACAGGGGGACTGGAGAGATGGCTCAGCAGTTGAGAACACTTATTCTTACAGAGGACCCAGGTTTGATTCTCAGCACTCACACGGCAGTTAACAACTTCTGTAACTCCAGTTCCAGAGGCTCCCACACCCTCCTCTGGCCTCTGGAGGCTCCAGGCATGAATAGGGTGGGCGCATGTACATACATGTAGGCAAAACACACATGAATAAATCTAAAAACAATAGCAACAGCAAGGATTAAAAAAAGTTTTGAAGAATCAGAAGGTACCCTTTGCTGGTGCTGCTGCTCCTGTTGCTGGTGCTGGTGTTGGTGCTGGTGGTGCTGGTGGTGGTGATGGTGGTGGTGATGGTGATGGTGATGGAGGTGGTGGTGGAGGAAGAGGAGGAGGAGGAGGAGGTGGTGGTGCTGCTTCTGCTGGTGCTGCTTGTGGTGGTGGTGGTGGTGATGGCGCTGCTGCTGGTGGTGGTGGTAGTGGTGTGGCGGTGGTGATGATGGTGCTGGTGCTGGTGGTGGTGGTATTATAAAGTCTGTGATATACTTGGGGAACGGTTTGCTCATATTTTTCACAACAAATATTTATTGTGGTGCTTTGCTGTGACAAACTACGTCAGGTCTTAGTTTGACCTTTCGGATATGACCATGGACAAAGAGAAACGGCTCTCGTGCAGCTGACACTCTAGTGGAGGAGATGGAAGATCAGCAAGCATAAACAGAGATGAGGGAGATGAAGAGGACAGGTGTGTTGCTAGGCTGGGGTGGGAAACCCCCTTAGAGCAGCTTCCTATGACTCCCCAGAGGGATCAAGTCTGCACATGTGGAGAAAGAGTGGGAGGTGACCCAGGAAGATGGCCCTGACATTGGGTACTTTTCTTTTTTTTTTTTTTTTTTTTTTTTTCGTTTTTCGAGACAGGGTTTCTCTGTGTAGCTTTGCGCCTTTCCTGGGACTCACTTGGTAGCCCAGGATGGCCTCGAACTCACAGAGATCCACCTGGCTCTGCCTCCCGAGTGCTGGGATTAAAGGCGTGCGCCACCACTGCCCGGCTTTTTTTGTCTTTTTCTTTTTTTTTTTTTTTTTTGTACTTTTCTATTGCTGATAAAATAACACACCCAAGGCCACTTACTTGAGCTTATGTTTCCAGAGAGATAAGAGTCTATCAGCATCTCATCAGGGAAGTCTGGCAGCAGGCAGGCCAACAGCTCGAGCAGCAAGATGAGAGCTCACATATTAACTACAAGCAGGAAGCAGAGAAAAGAAACTGGGATTGGCGCCCAGCTTTTAAACCTCAAAGCCTACCGGCTAGTGACCTACTTCCTCCAGCAAGGCCTCACCCCCAAAGCCTACCCAAAAAGCACATCCATCTGGGGACCAACTATTCAAGTATCTGAGCCTACTGGGGGCATTCTCATTCCAACCACTACAGACCTAAGGAGAAGAAAAAATACAGAGAAGGAGTGGATTCCAGGCAGAAGAGGAAGCCATCTTTGGGGGGTCTGGTGTGAAGGGGGGACAGGGTGAGGTGAGACCAGGCAATGCTGAGCCTGACCAGCTTGGGACCTGGGTGTCAGGAGGGGGAACCTGTTGGGATAGTGGAAAGGGGCATGATGGGATATGCATTTCAGGAAGATTATTTTGTCGACTCCAAGTTTAAAGGGGCAACATGGGAAGAAGTAAGTATCAGGAAACTCACACACGTCCTATGTGTCTCCTCTTCTGAGATTTGGCATCAAAAGCAATCTCAGCCATAAGGGTCACCACTATTTTGTTCAGCCCAGCAGCCTAGCTCATTGCAGCAATCGCTGCCCAACATCTTATTTTCTTTCCTTTGGGGAATTGCACTGCTCCCCCAACTACTTTCTCAGATGGGTTGACCCTACAAAGGTACACACCTGCCTAGCAATGTCTTTCATTACTGAGTACAAGAGATACCTATTAAAAAAAATATATATATTTTCCTCTTGGTCAGTGGTTCTCAACCTGTGGGTCGAGACCTCCTTGGGGTCACATATCAGATATCCCATTTACATTATGATTCGTAACAGTAACAAAATTATAGTTATAAAGTAGCAACAAAATAAGTTTATGGTTGGGGGTCACCACAACATGAGGAACTGTATTAAAGGGTTGGAGCATTAGGAAGGTTGAGATATACTACATGAATATACAGCAGATCATCAGGCACCAATACTTCTGTGATGGAAAACAGCACTGGAGGAGTGGACAGAGAATGCGGGGTGGTTGGGATCAACATGAGTGGGGACTGAAGACAGAGGTGGGGGAGCAAGCCACGTGATTCTGGAAGAAGGGTAGGGGCAGAGGGATCCAGAACAGTGTCCCCCAGTGGAGGGCAGGCAGGTGGGTCTAATAAACATCAGAGGCTGAAATGTAGTCCTCAGTGGCTTGGTGCTTGCCCTGCCTAGTTTTATATCAATTTGACCAAAGCTAGAGTCATCAGAAGATCCCTCAATGAGACTGGGCTATAGGCAGGCCTGGCAGGGGCCCAGTCCACTGTGGGTGGTGCCATCCCTGGGCTGGTGGTCCTGGATTTTATAAGAAAGCAGGCTAAGCAAGCCATGCATGAGAAGCAAGTGCATAAGCAGCATCCTCCATGGCCTCTGCATCAGCTCCTGCCTCCAGGTTCCTACCTTGCTTGAGTTCCTGTCCTGATTTCTTTGGATGATGAACAGTGATGTGAAAGTGTAAGCCAGCTAAACTCTTCCCTCCCGAGGTTGCTTTGGTCATGGCGTTTTGTCACATCAGTAGAAACCCTGACTAAGACAGTGCTGTCCCTCAACCTGGCCCAATGTATGGTTCATGTCTGGGGCTTGACTTCAATTGTACTAGTAGCATGGGACCACGGGACATCAGCTGGAGTAGGAAAAGGGCAGCTACCTATGTGCAATGGATGCAGTGGAGTAAGACAGAATGAAATTATCAGAGACAGAGGCAAGTCCAGAAGAAAAAAAAAGATGAATTCCTAAATGCAACGCAAAAGCAAAAGGAGGGATTGTTTGGGAGGAAGAAGAGCAGGAGACAAAGAAAGGCAATAAAAGGGGAATAAAAACAGGATAATTTTATATATATAGTATTATATATATATGTATATATACTCTGTGTGTGTGTGTGTGTGTGTGTGTGTAAAGTATATGGTAGTGGGACAATGAAACCCATTACTTTGTATGCTAAGTTTAAAGCGTTAATGGAGAAAACATGAGTTCCTGAAGACATCACTTAGCTCCTGTGTCCAGTTATGTTTGAATTCAATTCATCCCTCACTTTTTACCCCCAAGTCAGTACAACTCCATTCCCCCTTAAGCCGGGGCAAATTGATTTCCTTTGACATACCACCTGAACTCATTGTCTAACAGAGAAACATCAAAAACATTTTATACACAAAGGCTTAGAAGTAACTAAAGGAAACCATGGGTACTTTAATCCCCAAATGTTTATAAAGTATATA